TGTGGCCCCATCCTTGGCAAAAACATCCACCAAATCAGGGTTTGCAGAGTTCATTCTCTATCATTGCCCCAAGAAAGGTGACGAAACACCAAAGACCAGTTGGAAGACCAGTTTTTAAATCTTCATACTTGTTGCCCTGTGGTAATTTGTTACATAGCTATTGAACATGGATGAACATGGTCCATTGAAATAGTTGATATTCCTATTAAAATGGTGATGTTCCAGTTCGCAAACTGTGCATGTTGCGAAATCCTGCACCAGGCAATAGGCATAGGTGGTTTATCCCGAAATTTGTCATAGGTTTTCTACCATCCCAGGTGGTGCAGGATCAACCCGGAAGCCTCACTGGAGCCCTGCAGTGAACTCGCTCTGAAGGGCGCGGCGTTGGGCAGTGGATCGCTAGTCCTGGAACTGGAACGGGGCTCCCACTGCCATGCAACCCATCCCCAGGTTTGCCATATATATATATATTCATATATCACTTATCAATATATTACTTGTCATAATCAACTATGGCCACTCTGGGAATCACCAAAACAACCGGCGGTAACCGCGGTAACCCCCATGAGCGACGAGCGACGGATGCGCATATGGCAGCGGTCGGGTAAATCCCAGATGCGCAGCCTGACCGCCAGGACCGACGACGAGAAAAAATGCAGCGAAGTTCGGATCGTCGGCCCTGAATAGCATGAAAACAGCAGTCTCCTTTCAGGAGGAGATTGACAGCAATAAGATAAGCTCAATTTTACAGTGGAAAAACTCTGGAAGAGAGACTGACAGCGACATAGTATATACCATGTAGCCCCACCCTTGGCAAAAACATCCACCAAATCAGGGTTTGCAGAGTTCATTCTCTATCATTGCCCCAAGAAAGGTGACGAAACACCATCAAAGACCAGTTAGAAGACCAGTTTTTGAATCTTCATACTTGTTACTCTGTAGTAATTTAGCATAGCTATTGATTATTGAACATGGTCCATAGAAATAGTTGATATTCCTATTAAAATGGTGATTTTCCAGTTCGCAAACTGTGGATGTTGCGAAATCCTGCACCAGGTAATAGGCATAGTTGGTTTATCCCGTTATTTATCACAGGTTTTCTACCATCCCAGGTGGTGCAGGATCAACCCGGAAGCCTCACTGGAGCCCTGCAACGAGCTCGCTCTGAAGGGCGCGGCGTCGGGCAGTGGATCGCTAGTCCTGGAACTGGAACGGGGCTCCCACGGCCATGCAACCCATCCCTAGGTTTGCCATAGATGGTGGTAGCATCCCCAACAAGTTGATGGAAATTGGATCTAGCAGAAAAAAACCATGTGATCTTTCGGGTCACTGCAAATTGAAGCATCCGGCAGAAACATGACACCGGCTATCACGATCTCTTTGAACTTCGGAACGGAATGTCTTGGAAGTCTTGGAAACTTGGAAAGTTTTGGATCTTGCGGAACGACTCAATTCGGAAACTTGATGACGGACACGGTGGTTCTTACTTAGTGCTTGTGGTGTTCTTCGCTTAGTCCGATGTTTGCTGTTTGATTCATGAACCTACCAATTCAAAGCTAACAATAGAAACATAGATACCCTGCAAAAGCCAGATGTTTCACTGTTTAGGCGTTTTTCTTACATATCCCCGTAGATGAACAACACAAACAGATCACACCAAACACCACTCAACCGTCGACCCATACGAAGTGGATAGCATGTACATAACATATCATAACATTACATACCTGTTACACACCTGTTACATAAGATGTTGGAAGCAGTGTGTACAAGTGTACATTCATCAATCCCCGTGGATCCTTCGATCAAAAGCAGATCTTTCAACTCATCCAAATCAAAGGGCTGCAAATTAAAGGTATCAAAATAATATGCTTGCCAAATTCCACACAATTCGGTCAAACAAATCATCGCGATTAGCTGGCCGAAGTCTCAGGTACATCCGTTGAAGCACCTGTGAATTAAGCTACGCCTCGATCCTTTTTGGGAATCAGTTCAAGCCATAAAGTTTGGTGGGATGTCCACGACAGAAATTTTCAATGGTGCTTCAAGTAGTGAAGCTGTTCTAGATGGTGATTCTCATATCTAAAACCAGTGGAGTGAACCAGCGCCCCATCTACAGGGATTTACAGGGTAGATTCTCATAGCCTGAAATAAGGCTAATATTGGGATATGTTCCCTTACTAACGATCATTATAGTGAGGTGTGAGTGAGGTCGTTAGATCCAGCAGCTTCGTAGGAAGTGTTTGGGGGCTTGGCCGACCATCTACAATGGATAAACCATTGGTTATAGATTATTCTATAGCTGTCTATAGCTGATAAATCATCATACTGTAAATCACCTATAGCTTAGTATCAGGGTTGGCCTATTTAAGTGTGGGTACTTTTGGGGTATAGAGTCTATAATGGGTTTTGAAGAATCTATACGGGATCTATATTGGAAATTTGGGAGAATATATAGGGCATTTTGGGTTCTTACATGTGGTCCTCCGACTTGCAAACAGAAGGCAAGCGTGCAACCTCTGTGTGTGTGAAGGGTGGGCCCCACAAATCAAAAGGAAACAGAACACATGACAAATTGGGTGGCAAATGCCAAAGCGGCTGAAAAGTGCTGATGGGCCTCAGGCTAACAGCAAGACAACTCCCTGTCAGCGATGTCAATCTATTTATTCTTCTCGCGTGGGAATCTGCAGGTTCCCTGCACATCTCCTGCAATGCCCTCATGGCTCAGCAGGTCTGTTGCCAAGATCTAAGATCCGGGGCGCAAGGGCCAAGCAACCCTTAAAGCTCTTGAAACACACAATGCCTGCTGCCTACCGAAAGTGTTCATTGGCCGCTCACTGCCATACCCCATGTGGCTGCTACCGCAAGCGCTCACTCTGCAGCTCCGCCTTGTCAGCACTTTTGCGATATGGAATGATACGGCGACACATTAAATTGTGATGTCTTGCTTATGAATGATTTGCTGTGCATACGTCGCTTAAGACAGCGGTTTGGTTGATGTGATATGGCGGTTTGCTAAAGACTTATGACTGTTGTTTGTTGCTTTGTTATGTTACTTGACATCTAAGCTAATGCCCTAAGCCACAAATCCTACATGTTTCAAGTAGGTATGAACTGCAAGTTTGAAGCTTTAAGTAGTAACATGTTTTGAATTGGTGAGCTGAAAGTTTGAGAGTTGCAAGGCTTCATGTTTGACTTTACTGGTAGCTATGAACGTTAAAGCGTTAAACTGTTTGATTTGCATTTATGTCAGATGTATGCTGCGTGTTACAACATGTCTTTGCAATATTTTAGAAACGATGTTGGAAAAAAAGCTTTGAAATGGACCGAAAGAGGATGTCGCGGAAACGGTCACGACGGTTTGCGACTATACCGCCGCCTGGGTTCCCAAGGATAGCTTGAAACGGTCACGACGGTTTCCACAGATTTTAATCTGGGCATTTCCTAGAGACGGTTTTAAACGGTTTCAGACGGTTTCAAACTATAGTGTTTTTGCGGCGTTTTTTGCTGCACATAGGAGAAACGGTCACGACGGTTTCCAGCACATGGCGGCCAGGGATGAACCCATTGAGCGGAAACGGTCACGACGGTTCTGACACTGTCCTGTCTTAACTCCAGATTAAAGAAAAAGATATCAAAAATCAAAACGCAACAAACATGATAAACAGATACGACCAGATAGATCGTAACGTGCAAGATTTTAAGTGACGTAGTCCCAAACATATGAAGGCCACACAAAAAACCATCACCTAATCCAACTTGCAATCACGACGTATCATCATCTATCATCTCTCATCATCTATTATCATCACCCGCGGTGCTCAAAAGTTCATCGCTGGATATGCCCTCTACTGTCTGCAGTCCACAAAAGTGACAGCTGTGATCTAGTCACCAGGTCTTGTAACTTTCAATCAAACCCCGGGCTTTGAGTCACCAAAAAGAGACCTTAGTAATGGTCGCCCAAGTGATATCTAGGACCGCCTCCTCTCTCCGGTCAATGTCACGATGAACTCACAGTCAACGTTCTTGGCGTATGGCGTCAAATCTCCTCCGGACATGCCCAAAAATCAGACCATGGGCCAGGGGCCGGGACACAGCACCCAACAATTCAATCCACCAACCCACTGAAAACCCGGCCTTCCGTTCCCTCATCGTTGCTCTTGTTGCTGGGCCTGCACTCCTGCAAGGGAAATGGAGGCCCACCTACCACTCCAGCTCATGGGTTTTGCCAACAAAAAGTTAAGCACATTTCCTTGTCCAGAAACCGTCTCTGACTGTAGAAACCGTCTCTGAAGCTATTTTGGGGCTCCAAATGGCCAGAAACTATATTAAAAATCTGAGAAATTATATTGAAAACCACAGAAACTGTTTGGGCGACATTTCTTTTCGATTTCCATCTGAATCTCCATGCAGGTTCTCAATTCACGGAAACCAGCGATCTAGAAAAACAACGTTCATTCGAATCGGCAATGTACCGAAACACTCACACTGGATCTTGACATCAAGTTTGCAGCTGCACTTGGCTGTTTCTTGTGCACAAAGGACAAGACTAGGCTCTGAATGAGAAGAACTGCTGACCCTGAATGAGAAGCAATACGTTGTTGTTTGTTGTTCGTATTGTTGGGCTGGATTGAAAAAATGAAAACTAGAGACGTCAGCTTATGTACTCAAAGTGCTGAAAAACACACGCGGAATGGTGCAGAATAATGAGGAGTGATGCTATATGCAGTTTGCAGTGTACGATGCGCATGTCATATGTGCCATGACTGTTTACATCTTCAATCGCAATCCGATGTCGCTGTATCTTTGTTCTTATGATCTAAAAAATGAAAGTGAATCTACTCACGCACTACCTCTGCTACCCCTCCAAACCTTCAAACCGAAACTTGTCAAGAACAGGTTCCTTCATAGAGCGAAACGCATGCGCAACTTGCGGCACATTCAAATCAGATACCCACTTCACAGTCGTTGAGGTCAGAAAGGCTGTCTGCGGTTGGGAGGAAGAACTTCAGGAAGCAGCTCGTAAAAGTTTGCCAGGCTTATCAGATCGGAGCGGACACCCAAGATGTACAGCCTCATTTGGCACTGGGGTGACCCATCATGACGGCAGTGTTTGGTCCAGCGATGCGCAGAGTCAGTTTGGTGCCATCCGCTTGGGAATTCCACGCTGCAACCCTGCACGAAGTCATATGGATATATAATTTTGTGCAACCTGCAAGACGATCATTTATACCGGAAGGATTTGGCTCAGAGATATCCCTCCGTCATAAGGTCCCTTTTTCCCCAAGTAACGGAAGGTAAGGTGAGCAGCGGAAAAAGCACATATATATATATATACATATATATATACATATATATATATATATATCGTCTTTGGTATAGAATGTATAGGTGAAAAATATCTTTGAACAAATGACAAATAAACCAAATGTCATCGTAAATATAGGCAACCAGTTCAAAGAAAACACATTGTATATGATTTGGTTGGCAACGAAATGGTGTGGTTTTGTGCTGCACACACTGAGCAAGCTTGCCCCATATGCTGCCAAATTTCCTCATGGCTTGATATATCAACATGTTTCCGGTTCAGTTCCAAGTACTGGCCACATGCTGAAGATCAAACATGAAAGAAGGTGGCGCCGAGTGCTGATCAAGCTGGAACAAAGCCGTGCGATGTTAGCACAACACGTGAAGGCTCCCAAGCAAGAATTGACGCAACAACTGGTACTGATGCGGCTAGGGCTCGGAGTCAGGCAGGCTGCCGCCAGGTAGATTGCGCAAAACTGTGCCAGCCAGCAGTCGCAATGCCATTGCAAGAGGCACAAAGATGGTAGGAAGAAAAAGTAACAGCCACGCAACGAAGGATTTGAAAAACATGCGCCCGATGTTTCTGCACCTTTGCTAAGATGATGCCAGTATCTAAAAATTGCATTGCTGATATTGGATGATTCTAGGACTATGTTCATGCGTCTCGCCCCGTGGCTTTGTTCATGGCCAAGTCTGCCTTGGTTATGTCATCACCATGGCAAAAAAGTGGGCCTGCAGTGCCACCCTGCGCAGCTGACAAACCACAGCATCACAGGAGAACTGGCAAGCCACCTCCTCATCCAAACATGCCCCCAAAAAAACTTTGTACCCCAGAGTCATGACAATGCTGGAAACAAGATAAGTCGATCAGGATATTCATAATACACCTGCATATACAACAAGTTCACCAAATATAGTTTCTGTGATTTTCAATACAGATCCTGCATAGTTTCTGTGAAATTCAATATAGATTCCAGGGTGCATTTGGATACGTCACAAACAATTGTTTAAATAGGCCATCCCGGGCCCTAACCTATAGCTATCTATATCTGATTCGCACAACTGCTCTCTCTCTCTCTCTCATCGCTCCTTGGAAGCGACCCTGGCGTGGGCATTGCCTCCGGAGCAAACACCCAGAGAATCATTTCGGGATCAATTCGGAGGTTTCTGAGGATATCTAGAACTTAAGCATCCAAAATGGGATTCTGACCCACAATCCAATGGATTGGTTTAAGGGAACATTGACGGTTGAAACCATGGTTTTTGTTAACCTCCAAATTGTTCCGGGTTTCATGTACAGTTTTCTTTGAACCGGTGGAAAGAGTTCTGAAAGAGTTGTGGCTGTGTCTAAGCCCAACATAGCCCAACAATAAGCCTACCATTTGGATTAGGATTTCGCCGACATTCCGGGGCCTAATAGGCCGTCCACCCGATTTCCAAAGTGGTGGTGATTTCCCCAGAATATCTGTGACTGGAGAGGGCTCATCATTCTAAGTGAAGTACACCCCAAAAATAGATAAACATAGAAAAGTAAACTCCAACCAAACTATCCAATAGATATGAGTTATTTTCTTTTTTGGGGTTACAATGTTCAAATGACTTCTCTATCTGTTTGATGCATTTTTTTGGGTATCCTATTCTCAATGGTGGTTTCAAACCAGCCAATAGACATGAATCAAGTGGGGATTATCATCTTTGGAACCACCAACCAGCAATATCGCTATGGGTGCTTCAAGACTGAGTATCGACTTCCTAACATCTTTCGAACGTAACAGCGGACCAGTGGACCAGTTCCCTTATGATGACAGATCACAAGCAAAACCAAAGTATCAAAGTCATCCTATCTGTTACCCTCTGGTCATTTAACAACGCCATGGTATAGATGGCCCATAGAAATAGATGGTTTACCTGGGTTTGCCTATTAAAATGGTGGATCTTTCATGATCTTTCCATGGCTATGTAACAAATAACCAGATGGTAATGTAGATATATAATGATGGTGTATATATATATATATTGTATAATTACATACATATATATATAATCAATGGGAAATCCATTCATGGGATATATAATATGATATATTAATATATTATAGATGGTACATCTGCTGAACTTCCCATGGTCATCCTGTGCCATCGGTGCCATGGGTGCCATTGGCCTGGCGCACCACCGCATGTTCCATGAGAAATTGGGGATTTTGCCATGGAAAATCCATGAAACATCATCGAAAGTCATAGAAAATCATGGAAAATCCATGGAAAATCCTTGGCAATCCATGGAAAATCATGTCTATATTCCAGGGAATAATCTTAAGGTATGATGGGGAATGTGGCTGCGGTATTTTTATTCAAAGTTTAAGTGGCTACTCAGGCTACTAGCTTAGATGGGGCCATGCGAAGCAGAGAAAACATATTTTCAGCTCAATGTCAAACCATAGCCATTTCACCTTCAGTCTCCTTCGAACCAAAATTGTTTTTATTCTCAAAGGACCCAGGTCCGTGCCAAGAATTCACTCGGAAATCTAAAGGGTCAAACAATCCTCCAAAATCACATGTTTCTGGGTCAACAGACTCTGGCCTGTAACGGGCGAAACATCACCTGAAATCTCCTTTTTTATCGCCTGAAATGGTGATATGATCATGATGTGGTAAAATCATGTAAAATCAATCATGAACCATGGACCATAAGTGACTTTACGGTTTCGACCATTGACACTTTGCTCACATGGGGACCAGTGATAGTAGGAGGATCACAAACGGTTCAGTCCATGTGGGCTGTAGCAATGGCACGGATTCCAGGAACAAAAGGGATTCAACGAATGATAGTGGCTCCTCAAATCCATCTCAAAGACACTTAAAAAGTCAGCATGCAGGTGGCCGATCCCAGCAAAAAGGTCGAATATGCTCGAAGTATTTGAAACCAGCCACCATAGACTTAGACAGAGGGAATCTCCACACCGAGCCGGGACTCAGAATACTGACCAAAGGGAACTCTTTGGGTCTAGCAGCTGCTAACTTCTGGAAGTCATTAATGGTCCATTAATATTCACAAAGTATTCCCATGACATATTCTCCCATGGGTTAACCCAAATATTCCCATAATAATCCCATTAAGAGTTTCTGCTGGTGACATCTCCACTTTTAAATCGATTGAAAAATTCGCCATCCCTTGCTGGGCCTCTGTTCAGCTTCCATCGCCTGAAGAGGGCATCGATAAAAATGTGAAAAACAGTAACGTTTAATGTCCAACATGGCATTGACATAGATATATGATATATCATCATATATCATATCATATCATATCAGTTCATTTCATTGTATATATATATTATATATATATATATATTATATCTACATCTACACTGTAACATCTATATTAGTGTCTATACATGATATAATATCGTTAATATAGGGCTGGCTACAGTGTCGACGGCTCGATCTTCACAGTCTCATCACGGTGAAGTCATGTCATTTGAAGTCCAATTCAGCAAATATATGGTGTATATATATATACACAAACGTCATCCAAATGACTATGTCACTAATACATAACTGGTATATTGCTATATACTATATATATATATATGATATATATATATATACATGTATATTAGATATAATATTTTAGGGAAATGTATATATATAGGGTACACTATCATTTTCAATTGGTCTCATCCAATTTGCTCACGCCGCCTCCGGTGATGCATCCTCACTGGAGCTCTCTTCCTCGCCAAACAGCCTGGGCGCTGGAGCCACTCAACCAGGACTTCGTGAAGTGGGCCATTTAGTAGGGGGAAGGATTACCAAGCAACAAAGTGGGCACATGTTTTTGAAGAATTTGAATACATGGAAAAAAGTTTCTGGGGTCTAGAAACGCACAACAATGCTTCAAGATGCTGAATTATAATCTCTTTTCTGAGACCCAAAGAAGTGCAACAGCAAATGCTTCTACCATATGATGGGTTGAGGTTGGGTACCCTAGGGTAAACAAAAAATATGTAGAAAATCAATGGTTTCCGTTCAGAAAATGATCTACATTCAGGGTGGGTTTTCCGTGTTTTTTCATCTCTTGCAGGAGGGTATATTCCATAATTTTGAAAGCAAAATCTCTCCCAAAGACAAAACTTGGGAATTCCCCTCAACACCCAACCTGATTGGTGAATGACCCATACCCATAACTTTCACTGCTTCAAATCCTTGTGTCCAGGTGAGCTGCCCAGAACATTTCGCTGAAAACCGACACATCCCCAGCGATACCTCCGACAAAAACACGGCTCAAACCACCTGAGGCAAATTTAGACCCCTGGTACCAGGGACGAACTCCCATCTACATATCTACAACTGTGTATTCAACACATGAATATATATATATATATACACACAATCTATCTCTATCTGAATCTCTATCCATTCATCCATCCATCCATCTATCCATCTATATATATACTGGTTGGCGTTGCAATAACCATCTTGAAGAATGATGGAGTTCGTGAATGGGGTCGGGATGACATCCCATATGAAATGGGAAAAATCATCCATTCATGTTCCAAAATATGACAGTTAGTTGGGATTACGAACTTCCCAACTGAATGGAAAAATGCTGCAGTACCTCCATTTTAGGATCCTGGATTTCCCATTGATTATATATAATTATATATACACACCATCATTATATCTACATTATACACACCAGATGTATACCATTGTCATATTATATATATACCAGACATTAAACTCGCATTATACCATGGTGTGTATATTATATTTCTACATTATCAATGGATATATCTAATATATCATTAAAAAACACCATCATTATATATCTACATTATCAATATCTCCAGCATTGTATATCTAATAGATATATTATGATTGATGTATTAGATATTGATACAATATATTTACAATATTGACACAATATACAACGTCTGTATTAGATATGTGATATATAATGATGGATATTATATATATATATATCACACCACCAATATATTCAGTACATATCTATATATCTATATTATATCAATATCTATGGAGCCGGGCCACTGCTGGTGCAAGGCCTCCGCAGCAATTTGCATGGCCTCCTGGGCACTGCTCATGGCGTTGGAGCCGTGATACCTCGCGACGCGCCAGGCGACGGCGTGGCGTGGCGAAAACGCGGCACGGAGACGGGGTCCATGGGGATTTTCCATGGGGAAAATGGTGGTTTTAGTGGGCTTTCCCCCCTTGAAAAATGCAGTTTTTTTTTTCGGAAGAAAAATCATGGGAAGAGTGGAAAGATCAATGACCAACCATATTTTCATGCAACATAGCTGATATAACCAACAATATGGTAGTCTAATAAGGTTTAACAGGGACAATATTGAGATAATAGCGAACAATATTCACGGGTTTAGGCAATCACCCAACCAAAAAGGTGGGTTTAATTAGTGAGATTTAACCATCAAACCTGGTGGTATAACATAGTGGGGCCATAATGGGAATATGAAAAATATCAATGAACAAATAAATAGGATGTTCAGGAGAAAAATAATGAACAAAATCATGTCTCAATTGGGAAGTCAATGAACATCCTATCTAAATTTTGGATTTGAATGGGAAGATCAAGATATCACCTCAAATATATTTGAACACCAAGACACGGTGATGTCACGGTCCCAAACACATGGTAACATTTGCCAAGGCTTGGGAAATCTACCCTCAAAATCTCATGGTTGAAACTTCGAAACTGCGCCATCTTTGAGCTATTTGAAGTGGAGGTATACCTCATGTTCATGCACAGCCCACCAATATTCTTGATAAAGTATCCCATATTTTTCAATATTGACCAGATGTAATTCAAATTTTGTTGGTTTAAGAACAACTATAGTTAATTGCCACTATTTAGTATAATTACTATTCATCCTATTTATCACTATTAAACCAACTATTTCACCTATTTCCATGGCTTGTCTTATACCTCCCCGTAACTCTAAACTTTGGTTAACCACCCCCATCGTGCCCAAGCTGCATGGCAGTGTTCATCGCTTGCTCCACCTGGCAGCAAGGGACGGACGTCATGTGGAATTGTTAATGGGACATTATAAATAATAGTGGCATATTATAGGTAATATCAATATGGATATGAATATTATTATAAATGATAGTGGATATGCTAATATAGGATTATTCTCTAGTTTCATTGACAATAGTGATAATAATGGAACAATAGTGGAATAATCATTGTTAATAGTGGAATAATAATAATCATGAGGTTACTCAGTTTAAATAGTGATTCAATCCCCTGGAGATTGGAATTCTTCATGTTTTCCACATATGGAGGTTTCCGAACATGTGGCTACCCCAAGTCACCATGCTTTGTTCCAATACTAAGTCATGGTCTAGTGACTTGCAAATCTTGGAACCCCATATGCCTTCTGGCAATCTCATGTTGCAATTAACAACATGCAATGTTAAAGTTTACCTCCTCACGATATAAAATCGAACCCGACAAGGACCATGTAAAATAGTCAACACACATGTACCAAGGATATTTGTGCGGATTACATGCGGGTAATGGGAAAACCGTCCACAAAAACTATGGAGAAGAAACATGGTTGGTGGTTGCAACCCCGCTGAAAAACCTGCTGGTCAATAAGAATCATCATCCCATTTCTATAGGATCAAAACAGAGACCAGAATACCAGGGGGGATTGGAGTATTTCCACTGCAGAATTATGCAGAATTATAGCTACCTGATAACACCAATATTAAAACCCCGCTTACGAAGCGCCCAACATTCCCATGAAAGTCATGAAAGTCCCCATTATCATCATGATATTCCTAAACAATATCCCATTTATATCCTCATTTTCCCATATGTTCAGATGATTTTCCCATTGATATTCCCATATTTTCCATTGATTTTCTACATCATATCCCCATGATATTCCTGAAAACTCTCCGGTTCTATCTCAATGAAAAAAAAGGTAAAACATGGGAAAATCATGGAAAAACATTTGATATCCCCATATATTCCCATTTTTTCCATTGATTTTCTATCTCAATTTTCCCATGTTTTTCCATGAAAAAAAAAGTGTCGCCGCCGGGTCGCATAGGGCTGCGCCGCCGCCATGGCTTTGGGCGCATCCTCCTGAACCACCTTCTGCATCACCTCGTAGCCCTGGAAAACCATGGGAAAGCTATGGGAAAACTATGGAAACACCATAATTTATCATCTATATCATTATGGGAATCATCATTTATAATATTTTATAATCTATCATTATAAATATGATGATGATAATGATTAGGATGATAATGATTATGATGATAATGATTATGGTGCTATGGACTTTGTTAGTATTGATGATATAACTGGTTTAACTATAGTCTATAGTCATTAGTTTAACTATGTTCATTAGGGAACATGATGGAATTTCATGGGATTTAACCATCCAAAATGGTGATTAAACATGATTAAACTATAAACACCTAAGTCGGTGCAAAGTCCAATAACTATGGTTTTTGTTGGTGATATATCTATAGAAATTCTATAGTAAATGGGATTATAACCCATTTATACCTGGGAGGGGGGCACCACCTTGTAGAAAAACCCTTAAACCCATGGGATAATGTTGGTTTAGCCAAGAATGGTGATATGGACTTTCGGACAAATCCTTAAATAATGGTGACATTATCCAGTATAATGCGTATAGAAAATGAAGGGAACACCATAGCAAACTGATGATTTAACCAACAATCATGGTGATATAGACAATCACAATGGTGAGAGAATCCCTATGAATGGTGACAAAACTTCTACAACAATGGTTATAATCCCTACTAATGAAGTTCAAGCCATTCTTACTGTCTTTACATTCTCTATTTAAGACTTGTTATGACTTAATTATTGTCCTTATATATGGTTATAAACGGTTGTACATGGGGGGGCCATTCCATTTTTGTGGGTTGTAATGATAATTTATGATGCTTATAATCCCTATACATCATGGCTGAAAATGATTGTAATCCTGATTAAAATCATGGCTCCGAAGTGCGTTGTCTGGCTGATGCGGCGGCGCAGCTTGGATTTTGACCACATGTCATGGCTGGGCCATGCGGTTCATGAGAGCCGGGTTCTCATCGCTAAAGATACCTGGCGATTATTATCCTTATAGTGGTTATAATTACCAACAAACCTTTGTAGAGGTAAAGTCCCATTTATGGATGAATTTCCGATTTGGAGCCCTGCAAAACAAGTTAGATTGTTATGGTTGTAAATGGGGTTACCATTCCAAATTTACGGGGTGGCTTACTGACTTCTAACTGCAAAAGGGGCAAAACTGTATTGTTGATGGCTATGTCACTATCAAAATCCAATGAAGTTCCCATCAAATCCAGTTAAATCGCTATTTCTAGTGGTTACTTCACACTTGCTGGTGGTCAATTTTCTCTACCCCATCTACTACCATTAAAACTTATAACTGACTAAGTTATAAATCTCATTAGTGTCATTAAACTCAGCAAACTAAATCCCAGTACCCTCTGGTTTTTTGACGTTGTAAAATGGATGAACATGGCCCATTTAGTTCGATGACTTATGCTGAGTTTACCAGTTTTTTAAAATTGTAATTTTCTAGTTTGTAACTCGTTAAAAGCACCAAAGAGTAACACTATTTTCTAAATGATCACTAGGGATAATGGTGTTATATTCCCAGCACAACTCACTAAGTTATAATTTTCATTCATATCCCAGAAAATATTGTATCACCTTCATTGTCTATCATTCGTCACTATACACTATAGTAATCCCCAAGAAGACAGAAGATATTCGAACAGGCCTTCCCGTTCGAATGCTACGTTCTTCTTGGTTCCAACAACAATCGGAGATGAAATCCCATAGAAATCTATGACGTAAATGGCATCCTAAGATCTCCAAAAACCTATGGAAACTCCGAAACTCCCATAGAAATCCCATAGTGCCCGCCTCCTGCGCCTTCTGCTGCGCTGCTTTTTGCACCTCAAAGGCCGCCTGTTCCACGTGCGGCCGGGCCGTCTCGATCATCGCAGGCATGTCGTGCCTCGGTGCCAGAGATGTCCATGGGGATCTCGTGGGGGAAATCATGGGATAGTGGAAAATATAGATATAGAACATATATGTTATATCATAATATTAAATATGATTTTATCCATGTATAATCTATGATATATATATATTATAAGATTGTGTGCATATATCGTATGATCATGCGGATTCAATTGGATGCAACCCAGCCCAACATGGGGATGCAAGGGGATATTTTTACCATGATGGGAATCCAAGAAATGTGTCAAAACAATGATACCCACATATTCCGTATAGCCGACTAGTTCTGGTTACTGTAAGCTGGATGTTCATCCCCCATGGCACGGGAATATGTCTCTTGTAGCACTCTTCTGGTTGGTGGTGAAACGTACCACCCCCTTGTTAGGATGAACAAGAAGGAAACATAAGCAGAAAAACAAACACAAGAAGAACATGATGTGGAATATATGTTCATCAAACAACACCTTTGTGATGCTTTGTTGATTGCTCCACGACAGTCACGAATCCTGATCGCCACGTTGCATCACTACTTGGTGTAGTTTCTGGCTGGCCTGACGTGGTTGAGCTCACCAGTCCGAAACGTGACAGTCTATGTCGGATGATTGCCCTCTGGTAAACCAACATAGCTGTTGAAAATGGTCCATTGATATTTGATTTACCTAATAAACAAGATATGTTTTTCCATAGCTATGTTGAACTACCGGAAGCTATCTGCAGTAAAATGAACATTAATATTGACATTTCCTGCATTTCCTGTCAAAGAAAGTAGATCGATTCAGGATGGAATATAGAAACAATATGAGGAAACCTGCAACCCATGTTGCCCATCTGACCCTGATTAATTTTTGGGGCCGGCGATTTTTTTTCGATGGCCCTGAGCCTCCCCAAACATCTTCGGCGCTTAAAAGTGGCTGAAACCCCGTTGGTAATGATGTCAATTTTGAGGCAATCACCAGTAGATTTCCATCATTAAATATGGTTACATCTGCGTAAATTCACAATCATTTACCCCAGGGTAAACTAACACAGATGTGGAACATGACCATGTATGGATGGCTTACCTATGAAAATTGTGATTTCCCACATCTATGTCTATCATTGTCTACCTCCATTATATCCCAGTTATTTCCCAAATATGGGCTGGTTACATCACAATCATATCCCCAAATTTTATCAAAGTAGAACCAATGTTTGCCCTTCATAGGGCCAGTAAACGACCTTTATCCCATTTTTATCCATGAAACATACTGTGGATGGAACAAATCCTGCACAAATTGCTAGATGCTTTATCCCGTTATAATCCCAGTATTTACAATTTTTCATAGGTACGTATAAAATACCAACTGGTGCAGGCTTTCGCAACCATCCACAGTAACTCTATCTTCAGGGGATGCCAAAATTCCATGACGGTTTTATACCTCGATTAAAGATCCAAAAAAACATCCCCATTTGGGCGTCCAAAATCTTCTGTCCTTCCTTCAAAAACTGGCTGGTTGATAGGATTTCTCAATAGTGGATCGTGATAATCATGGATTATACCTCTAATGATAGTATCCGATAGTAAAACCCCATGCAATCATCAACCAACCATTATCTATCCTTGTTATCAGTTGTATCATTGGCTGCTTGATTGTTAAACACCTAAAAACCCTGTATGTTTGATGGTGAAATCCTGTTTACCTTCTGGTCATCAGTCAAACGGCTTGCTGGAAAATCACTCCATTTTAGTTCGGTGATTATCGGAGCTACAAACCTCCATTTAGAAGTCATTTCCCAGCTAGCCATGTTTGAGGACACCGGAGGATGTCAACAACGTTACCATCATATTCCCAGCATGTACCCACTATATCACCATTATATCACCATTATATTACCATTTGTCTTAGTTAAATCCTATACGTTTCATGGTATATCCACCACAAATCCTTGTGTTTGCTAGCTGCTTACTTGTATCCCCATGATATTCCCACTAGGGTAAATCGCTTGAATCGGTTCCAGTAAGATCCCCTTATTATCTCATGATTCTTCCTATTAAACCCTTATAAAACCTTGAACATCCTAATTTTGTTCATGGATATTTCATATCCCAACTATTATATAACTATATTTCCAAAGCATATCCCAAGTGATTGGTTATATATCATGAAAAATCCTCATTTTTTAACCAATGTTAAACTAGCACATTGTTTGCTATCCCACCATTAAACACCGTTAAACCCCGTGACATCATTATTTTAGTTGGTCAAAAATCCCATGAAATCCCATGAAATCACCGTATTATTAGTTGGTAAAAATATGCCAAAGTCCGATTAAAATCCCATGAAATCCAGCAGGTTTCTGGGTAAAGTATCATAATTCACTAACCTAGGCTATGTTGGGGATGATCCCCCTTACTAGCCATGATTATAGTGAGGTCGCAGTGAGGTCGTCATAATTTACCCAGCATGTTTCTATCTTTTCCATTCTAACTTTCCCAGCCACCCCACGGGCCCCACGGGCCGCACCTGCTGTCGCTTCCGCGCCGCAAAGGCCGAGGCATCGGAGACGTAGCGCTCCACGTGGGGACGGGCCACCTCCGCCATGGCAGGCACGTCCTGACGCGTTCACTGCGTTCACGGTTAAACCATAGGCTTAGATGGTGATATGGTCCATAATATGGGTATATAATGGTTTATAGTATATGGGTATATGGTGTAAAATAGTATATATAATGGTTCATAACCATAATATGGTGTATAATATGGGTATTGTCAAATGGTTGATGTTAAATGGTTAAATAATATGTTTCTAAATGGTTTATATAAGCCTAGTTTTTTCGGTGGGATAAGTAGGCTGAATCCCCTTGTAACTGGGGTGAACTAACCTACTTACTAATGTGGGATGAACCACCGTTCCAATTTCATGGGGGGACCCCCAATTCTCATCTATTGTTTGATGGAGTTTTTCCATGAAATAAACATAAAACAACCAACTATGAATTGGGGATCCCCATTTATGGAAACCCCGTTGTGGGCCGCTGGTATGGGGAATGAGAAACGGCGATGAAAAATGGAACGAATTAACTCACAAAAAAATGGGATTGTTCTCATCCTGTTCGGGATTATCGATGATCATCAGTATTTATGTATCATAGGACGATCGGAATATCTTCTTCACTGCTTACCTTTACATCAAACATGGCAATGGTAAATCCCCTAAGTATAAATGTAGGTTTAAAGCTGGGAAAATAATCTAAAAATTGGATTTTTCTATTGCCATGTGTGCTTACCAGAGGATGAACTAACCCCCACATATCATATCAAATTTGGGGATACGTCATGGTAATTGAATAGGTAAATTTAATGGATTTAATCTGGGATATGAATAAACGAACTTGATATGATGTTTGGGGCGTGTCTGAAAACGGAGGAAGAAAACGCACATACGGATTACTACTTTGAAGAAACACATAGGCAGGATAAACTGTGGGATTTTGGGGTATGCCTTCAGACAAACCCTTATGAAGCTACGGAGATATACCACAATAAATGGGGGGGGTTAAGCAGCAACAATGGGAGTTGAACCAACCAAGTTGGGCATTGAACATGATTTAACCAGCAAAAGTGTGGGGAATTTATCTAGCCACTTTTAACCAACACAACTTGTGATTTAAACCAGAAAATGGGGAGGCTAAAGCAGCGAAAAAATGGTGGGAAACCACCTTCAACATATTGGAAAATCATGAAATATTTGAGGGGGAAAGCCATCAAGAATGGGTATGTTGGAAAGGGTGTTGTCTATGGTATATCAATAATACATTCCAAAGCTATACCATTTCTAACATGTTTGTCAAGAGCTACACCCCAAATTCATGGATATTTATGAAAGCTTGACCAACGCAAATGGATGCAAAAGCCATTAACAGCGCGGATGATGGTGAGGATAATAACAACTAACCATCAACACGTGGCTTTTGCTACTGCAGTTGCGCATCTCTGTGCTTGAACATGAGATTTTATCGTTTTCTTTTTTTTTGTGAGGGGAGGGTGAAAGAAGTGTGTATGGGAGGCCGAGTGCAGACTGTGGCGAGAGGCGGGTCCACAGTTTTGAGAGTGAAAAACATACTGGTAGTATTGAATTCACGTAGGCCGTCGTAGGCCAATGGAAACTACTTCTTCGGCAGCTTTTTGATTTCCTTTGCAGCATGCCGAGCGGATTTGCTTTCTCAGTGCTTCTGCTTTGATGCCGCCTCTCGCTCGAGTAGACCAATCACGTGGTCCCTCGCAGTGTCCAGCTGAGTGTCTCTTGCCTCCCGAAGCCTGTATACTATTTGTAAAATATTGTGTATCATCAGCATGATGGGCGCGGAGCCTTTCAATCACAGGGATATCATCAGATATATATATATATGTATATATATAGGACGGTGTGCTTATTGGCCTACTAATCATATACTTAGAGTTCAAATTTGAATGGGATGCATGGTAAATCCCCCTATTTGTAAACTGGTGGCTTGTTAGTTCTGGGTGAAGATCAAGGCAGACGCGAAATCCATGTCCTTGAGAATTCAACCACTCACCGCCAAGGATCAACTGGGTTTTGCTGAAATGTATTGGAACCACCATAAAACTAAAACAGAGTAATTTATGATCAGTGGTCTATCAACATGGCAATGTCTTGGGTGCATCTCAAATCTTTGAACAAACTAACCAAAGGTGCTTTGAGTTGGGTGGAAGGAGCCCTTCTTCTTTCGTGGCCTTGGAAACAACATGTCTTATTCCAGAGAACTCTTCTGGAACTTTGTGGTACGTTTGGCTGTGAAAATTCCCTAAGAATGGTTCTCCATATACCCTCTGGTAATAAAACGTGGCAATCGAACATCATCTATAAATAGGGAATGTTCAATTGCCACATCTGATTACCAAATGGGATAGATATGTTATAGCACCTGCAAATCAACAGCTCCAATACAAACAAACCAGCAGCGCCAGTCCTCCATGACACCGCGGTAAATCGCTTTACCTCCCGGTGAAGGGAACAAACTGACCTCCCGTTCTTCGTACAGAATGGTCCTCTGTGGGATTCTCCTCCTAATGTCAATAAGCCTACAGTCATTACAGCGATTACCAAAGCATGACCATGAGTTCTGGGTGATCTTCACCCTCTGGACCAGGATCTGGTATATCCCCAGCTGATTTTTATTCGGCGATCCCATAGTGTCTCAAACAAACTCTGCGCATGAAGAGCATGTGACGGAGAGTGATGTCCTATTTTTTAAAGTTTAAAGGCCTAGGCAATTCTTGACGCTAGGTCTAATTTGGATACGCCGCCTACAAAAAATGTTGTCGGTTTCTTATGTTTCTTTGAGACATGACCAACCTCTCCCAAGTTTTTTGCCATAACTGCCACCTAAAGGCCGCACCATGTGACCACTTTACTTCGTGTTATCCCAATCGTGGTATGGGTCCTGACACTTGTTTTGACATTCTGACTTCTTATTTGGCATATATCCTGACATCCATCCTGTATCCTCACATTCTGGCATCACCTTGACCTCTTATCTGACGTTCTCAAGTTCTACCTGACATATATTCTGACATTTTATCTGGCATTCTACCTGACACATATTCTGGCAATTAATCTTGCATTTTACTACAATTTACGTGCCGTTGTATCCGGTATTTGATCCAGAGAGCTGGCACCGTTTGTGTCCAGATGGCGAGTGTTTTTTCAACCTAGACCCTCACCTGACAGTGGGAACAAACGTCAAAACTTCCGATGGTTTACCAATTATGGAGGTTTCCTAAATTTCAGTGGCCTCCCATTTTAGTAGGATTATCCGTGAAAGAAACCATCCATTTCGGTTTCCCGTTATTAAAAAATCCTGGGTTTCCCAAAACTGTGCCCGTTCCAACGCCTGCGTGGCGAACAGCATCCCGTCCACCATGGAGCGTCCGCGCGAAGCGATCGATCCATAAAGGCATGGGCCCTACACCCAGCTCCTCCACGAACCTGCTTGGGCGGCACCGGCAGGGACATTGGACGAGGGTTATTTGATGTGAAGATTCTCAACGTAAGCTCCATGAAAAATCGAGCTATATGGAAGAACGTTTTTATGCCCATCATTTAATATTTATATGGTATTTCTATGGACCCCACCGAAAAAACAAAGAGAAACCACCAAGAAATCCCCTTGGATTTCGCTGATTTAGCCATGACAATTTGAGGGATTTCACCAAATTTTAACTATCACATATGGGGCACTCACCCATAAAAATGGAAAAATAGTGGTACCAGTGGTCCCAGGATTTGACTGAAAACCATCAAGAATTGGGGCGTCTAAAACGGTGATTTAACCCAACAACCATCATTTTCCTTGGGGCTTAGCAAACATGGTGATTTGCCAATCACATTTTAATGTAACAAATAAGGACAGTTAAACAGTTATATGTCCAATATAACATGGTGATAAGGAATCATAAGGACATTTTAATGGAACACCAACGTAAGTTTTACCAACAAACTGGGAATTGAAGCAACCATGGGGAATCTCGAGGCTGGATGGCTGGATGGTTTGGTCCAAAAATGTCGGGATGATAAGCACTCCAATGAGGGAAAGCCCACTTTGATGAATCTTTGATGATCATAGCTGCTGGGTCGGTGAATTTGCATTTTTTAAAACCTAGTGATTGATGATCATGGCTGGTTATGTCTTTTTACACCATTGCCTAACCTGCCACTCGACATTTGCAAACCAAATGGATACCACCACCGTCACAGAGTGGGATATCCAACGGGATAGCCTATGCATACCATAACTTGCAATCCGGGGGGCCAAAAAAGGTAACTTGGCTTACAACGAATACATTACTAACAATACTATAAGGATGACTATATAATTAAAGCAAAACATGGTGGTTTATGGGTTTATGATGGTTTATGTATTGCATGATGACTTTACAATGGTATCCAAAACTTAATGAAGTTGGATTTACAGTCGATATATCTATAGTTGGATGGGTTTAAGAAACTGAGGTACAACGTCAGTACCCACTTTCGATATACCATATCCCGATAAGCATGCAGCGATCGGAGCTTAAAACCCGTTTCAGGCTGTCCTTGTTGAAGTGAGATGTGAGTCAATGTGAGAGCAGTTAGAAGTGGAATTGAACTGGATGTGAATTGGATAGAAACCAACAACATCAACAGTGAATATATTTATATATAGAAATAAAACACACAAAAAATTGGACAATACATCCAGTCCAGCAAGAATTGGATAGAAACCAACTTAAATTTCGATATTTTCAGCAACATGGGATCATTGGCTCGCAAAACATGCCAGCATCGATTCGCGAAGCAGCGAAGCATAGATTCAGCGGAATGCTATCAAATTTGCCATGTTCGATGAACAATCGTGATTTTTTCGTATCCAAAATCACCATTTATCTGGATAAATGAAGTAACCACTCATTCACCAAACCTGAAAAGTTCCACCAATTTGGGATATCAAAATTATTACTAGAGTTATTGTAAGTGGAACTACGTAAAATTTTTGATAAATAAAAAAATAAATAATTAATATCAATTTGGGATACTTCCACCAATTTAGGAACTCTTTATCGTAGTTACTAAGCATTACCCTCTGGTAAACTAACATAACTATGGAAAATCACCATGTTCAATGGGAAAATCCACTATAAATGGTCATTTTCAATAGCTATGTTAGTTTACCAGAGGGTACTAAGCATTGCTACTTGGTGATTCCTCCCACGAGTGTGGCTTAGTTCACCTCAGTGGATTTCACAAAAAATCGGGAATCCACTGGCATCCACCACGATTCGTGGGAGCCACCACTAACCTAACCATAAAAAATCATTTCCGTTAAACATCCCATTAACCATTAGGAAAATTATATCACTACCTACTAATTTGGAATATATCATGATTAACCATTATAAAATATTATAAACAATTACTAACCATTAGTCATAGTTCTTCGGTACCGTTGTTACAACCGTCATTTCTGTTGACGTTTCCAACGCGTCACGAACGTCCAGACGCCTGCGGCCGAAGCTGCAACAGTTGTGGCTCAGAACGTCGTAGTTCCGGCCATGCCATTCCTGACCTGGGCGTCCGGCCACGGATCTTTGACCAGTGGGGATATGATGGGGATTAATTAAATTATATATATATATAAATATGTACTAGTATGGTATGTATATGTGTATATATATATATATTGTGTATAAATATATATTGTGTATAATATGTTTATACACCTGCTACCCTGGATGAGGTTTGAGTTAGCAATCTGGATTGAAATGTTGTCCAGGAAGCCTTTCGGATTTGCATGGTTTCAGCAACCCCCAAGATCTTTATATTATATATATAGATATATTGATAATATATGTATATATATATATATGTATTGATAATATATGTATAAATATATGTATATATATATATATTAATAATATATATATATATTTATATATATGTATTGATAATATGTATATATATATATAGATAACATATATATATATATTTATAAAAATATATATATATATGATATAAAAATTCTAATATATGATTATATATGGGAAAACACAACATGATAGGACTACATGGATACATATATATATATATATATCAATTGGATTTGTCCAGTTCGGGGATTTTCACCAATCTGTGGCAAATCTAGTGGGGGATTCAATATCTTCAAGTGATTTCATCAGCCAGTTAGGATAGCAATATCAGGTCTCCGTCCAAAATATGGAGAAATTGCAGCACTTCATTGCCATTTTGATGCAGTATCCCATTCTATCCCCATGAAATATCACCAGAAATAAACCCAGTCACACCTCTAACAAGCTACGGCTGGATCCATAGGGACCACAAAACCAAACTGACAGAAAACACCTGGCCACCGGACAAAGGCGGAACAGGACTTCCGCAGCTTGTTCCGGATCCTTTGCCTTGGCGGTGCGAGATATCAGAAAATGGAGCATGAGGGGGTAGTGGGAAGCTTATATAATTATATATATTGTATTGTTTGTCTATGTTTGTCTACCAATTATGGGAACCCCCGGAAATCCTATGGTTGAAGAGAGCATGTTCAATATTCACTGGCCATAACTTTGGATATCCACCATTTTCCTGAGAAGATTCTGACGGGGACAGCAAGACGATCTTCACGATCGACGTTCAAACCCTAATGGAAATCCTCTCCTATCACAGCTGTTTCACCAAAGCAAAACTTGGATCTGCTTAAGGACCCTCCCAGAAAAAAAAGGAATTAGGGATTCCCGAGCCTTTCGCAAACGAACCTATTTTGAAACCGGTGAGGTCTATCTCTCTGAGTCGTGATAAAGGGCTGTGATAGGCGATCTAAATATCTGCACACGCGACTGATCTATCATCCAGTTGCCACAAGGGAAGAAACCCACACCTTCCTATTGCCCTGCAACTTCAACAAAAACATCCCCACCAGGGCTTGACTTGGAACAACTTTCACCATTTCATGCATTTTTCCAAATTAAAAATAAACATAAGTTGACATAATTTCCAAACTTTTGGATCAAACCAGAATCCACAAACATGTTTCTGCACGCTTAGATAGAAGAGATCCCCAGTTACACGGATTTTCATTACTAGTTGGTCACATTTCATGGATCCATTCCTCACTGGTGACATAGAGACCCAGAGACGCCAGGCAGCCATGGAGTTTTCATGGAGTTTTCATGGAGGTCACGAGGAATCGCTTGTTTTTCCCGCCCATCGAAGTATCCAACTGCAGTTGTGGCCCAAAAAACAGATCTAAATGGGATCAACTAACTCCTGTATCTAGTTGGTTATCATGAAATATGCCAGTTATAATCCCATTTGTAGTGATTTCCCATCATTTTCCCATCTGGTTAGGCCGATGTCTACCATAATAGTAACTAGTTTATACTAGTTACATATATCTACCATAAACCTAACAGTTTTTGGAGTTATGCTCACCAACATAGCTTGCATAAATCAACTATAAATCCCATTGGTCATCTCCATTTTTGTTAGTTCAACCTTCATTTTCCTATGGTTTTCCCTTCATTTTCTATAGGGATTATTATATATATGGGATTATAACCATTCTTCTGTTCTATATCATCATTATTTATGGTGTCCCCATAATTTTCCTATGTTTTTTTTTTTCGATGGTATTTCCAGATAAGCACCACTTCCCACCCCCAAATGGATTAGCACATGGATTACAATTGGGATACAGTCATTTATAATTAACCAGCTCCTATAAAACATATATATATATATATATAGAGTTAGTAACTCCCATGGCCCATCTAAGCACTTGCCCCCACCCCAAAAAATTCCTTCGCCGCGTAGCGGTGGCCCCCACGAAGACGCTGCACTCGTAGACGTGCGCCGTCTCGGCGCGTGGCGGGTCGCAGGCCACACCATAGACACCGTAGGACCATTCGGCACCGTAAACCTGGTGGATTTCCACCGAATCTTTGGATCCACCGGAAGATTCCGGAAGTGTGGGCTGCGGGCTATGATTTTGGGAGTACCTCAGGTGTTTGGATCCATAGGGAGATATGATAATACATATATATATATATTATATATATATATACGTATTCATTATATATATACAAATAAATAATTAAATAAAAATATATATATATCTATATATATATATATATATATGAAGGTTTCCTAAAATGATGGTGCCCCAAGTCGCCATGCTTGTTTCAACACCAAAATGGGTCTAATGACTTGGATGATTTGGGGTACATTTGGGTACCCCCATTTTCGGAACCCCAAACTAATTGTGGCACCATTTTTGGAGACTAGTTCTTGGGATCAATTTTGGGGAGTAATGAAATAGTGATTTATTTATAGTGACTATGTACGTGAACTCGGGGGAGTTCCCATCGGCTCGCCATGTTTGAGAGAACAAAACACGGAGGGTTTAGATGTCTTGCCAGGGAACAAGTGTCATTTTACCCGGAAACCGTTGTAGGTTTAGTGCAAAAAGACTAGACGACGTATGGCCCGAGAGCGTAGAGGAGCAGGGTCTTCTCTGGTTAATATGGAAACACCATATTACAAAACAAATATATTAAAGATGTGTTATAGGCAGTCGAGAAGAGGAGTATCAAGACAATATAGCACAAGTACAAGACAATAGTTTGCATTGCAAACACTTTTACACACAGAAGCTTTTACACAGAGCAAGCTTTTACACAGAGAACCCCTTACACAGAGAAGCTTTGACACACAGAAGCTTTTACACAGAGACACTTTTACACAGAGACGCTTTTACACACAAGGCACTTTTACACAGACACTTTTACACACAGGCGCTTTTACATACAGGCAGTTTTACGCACAGACGCTTTTACACACTGTTGCTTTTACACAGACGCTTTTACACACAAAGCTTTTACCCACAGAAGCTTTTACAGACAGAAGCTTTTACACACAGACGCTTTTACACAGACGCTTTTACACACAGACGCTTTTACACACAAACACTTTTACACACAGACGCTTTTACACACAGACGCTTTTACACACAGACGCTTTTACACACAAACACTTTGACACACAGACACTTTTGCACACATTTTACACACAAACGCTTGCACACACACAGTTACACAAAGACGCTTGCACACACACACAGACCGTTTCACACACTAACGCCTTTACACACAAACACTTTTACACACAGACACTTTTGCACGCAAAAGCTTTTACACACAGACGCTTTTACGCACAAACACTTTGACACATAGACACTTTTGCGCACAAAAGCTTTTACGCACAAACGCTTGCACACACACAGTTACACAAAGACGCTTGCACACACACACACAGACCGTTTCACACACAAACGCCTTTACACACAAACACTTTGACACACAGACACTTTTGCACACAAAAGCTTTTACACACAGACGCTTTTACACACAGACACTTTTACCCACAGACACTTTTACACACAAAAGCTTTTACCCACAGACGCTTTTACACACAGACGCTTTTACACACAGACGCTTTTACACACAGACGCTTTGACACACAGACACTTTTGCACACAAAAGCTTTTACACACAGACGCTTTTACACACAAACACTTTTACACACAGACACTTTTACACACAAAAGCTTTTACACACAGACGCTTTTACACACAGACGCTTTTACACACAGACGCTTTTACACACAGACGCTTTTACACACAGACGCTTTTACACACAGACGCTTTTACACACTAACACTTTGACACACAAACACTTTTGCACACAACAGCTTTTACACACAGACGCTTGCACACACACAGGCGCTTTCACACACAAACGCCTTTACACACAAACACTTTTACACACAGACACAGCAGTGTGGGACATACGTCATTCATGACGCAGCTTTTGTTTGCTGAGTCCTCGTCGTTTGAATGTGAAATTCGGATCAAACAAAGAACAAACCTCCAAGGCTCTGACTCAGCAGCCTCACTTCCGATCGCGAAGTTGAGGTCCAGGGCGCAGCTTGGGCCTTTTTTGTTCGGCGGTTTGGTTTTCAAGGTTGAAGGAAAGAAGGGCCAGGCCACGGCCGGATCGCCGTGATTCTCTGAGGCTTCGGCAGAGGTACACCTCGTTGTCCCCGCGGTAGGTCGGGTGGTACCCTACCCGGGGGAAGTCTTGTTGGCACTCCTGGGCGTCGTCTGTTTCATGGATCAAACGGACGGTAAACAAAGCCATATTTTAGATAGATAAATAAATTTGTATATATATTATATGCTTGATGGCATGGCTAGCCGTTGTCCTCGCAGCGGCCATAGAAAGCTTCCAGGTGAAAGACCTGGGCGCGGAATTGACGCCTTTGTTATTCCTCTTTGTCACTCTGTCTGCGTCTCGTCGTTCTATAGGTGCGAACATAAATTTTGCTTGGCTTTCGGATCTAAGCTTGCGCACGGCCATTTCTGGAGGCAGCCTCAGTCGGACAGGGGCGTGCTTACACGCATCCAGGTCCAGAGTCTGCTGTTTCGAACCAGTATTTTTTGCTATTCAAAGACGGTCGGTCACAAAAATGATTCAGTGCAGCAGTCCGTATATATATATATATATACATATATATATATGTATATATATATATGTATATATATATATATGCTGCCAAGGATCGGCTTGGCCGTAGCAGCTCTGTCAAGTTCGCAGGGCTTTTGCAGGTTTGAGCCGGGCTGTGGCGATCGAGACACGTCGGTCTTTTTCGGAACTGTTGACGGTCGACGTGTACCGTCTGCATGCTTCACTGTTCACAGGCCGTTGAGAGGTCTCTTTCTTTTTTCAGCGGCCTGCGCGACGTGGTGCTGCTTCCGTCACCTTGTGACCAGCAGGGATTTGTAGACCCGGGTCTGCGCATGGAAGTGGTCCCGGTCGCCGTGGCTGCGGTATGCATGTAGACAATTCCGATTGATGGATTTACATTTGACCTGACGGACTCTTTTTTCTCTATCATGGTCGTAGACACAACATTTTCACAGTATCGTGGGGGCTACTACCCCGAAACTAAAAAATGCGTCGTCTATCATCCTTGTTGTTTTTTTCTTTGATGTGCGTCAGCCCTTTGCCGGGGGGTCAGGTCCATTCGATCTTCGACCTGCCCCCCTCCGCCTGGGCACTTGTACCACGCCATGGACAGAAGGAGTTTATTGATTACCCAGGCGGGGGCTCTTCCCTTCGTCTAGTGGATACAAGTGGGGCTCCTTGGGTTTTGCCCTTCTCTGCACCTTGCAGAATTTGTTCGTTTGATAGTTTTTGTTTTTGGGTAGGTAGATAGATAGATAGATAGATAGATAGATAGATAGATGTGCATTGATGGCTCAAAGCGGTTTCAAAAGTGAATGCGGCAGTTTTCAGCGTCACCAGAGGTCCTGCAGGATCAGGCTTTTTCTTTTTAGCATCGCGGCTCATGGTGCTGATTAGTCAATTAATCTTGCGCGCTGCTCCAGGTTCGCGGTTGGTAGCTGTTTTTCTTTGAAAAGCGATTTGAGATTGAAGGTTAGCAAGGAGGTGCTAGAGATGCAAGAGAAAGATTCAACAGCAAAGAAAGGCGTTCTAAGATCCCATCAGGGTTTACTTTTTCTTTTTTCCCCACCTGCCAGGTGAGGGTTGTTAGATTTTATCAGAATTGTTCTCCTCCTCGGCTAGCTATCCTCCTCCTCCGCTGCCTCCTCCGCCTCTTCTACCATCTCAGCATCCATTCCCATGTTCACTTCCGCCTTGCCAACTCTTCGCCAACTTCCGAGCTCAGTGAGCACCGCTGGACCTCAACCTGGCACCCTTTGAGCTCAGTCAGCACCGCTGGACCTCAACCTGGGACTTTCCGAGCTCAGTGAGCACCGCTGGACCTCAACCTGGGACCTTCCGAGCTCAGTGAGCACCGCTGGGCCTCAACGGCCAGATAGAATGCCAAAAGATATGCCCGATAGAACGCCAGATAGAATGTCAGAAAGAATGCCAGAAGATATGCCAGATAAAGTGCCAGAATGTTTGCCAGATAGAATGCCAGAAGATATGCCAGAAGGTATGCCAGATAGAATGTCAGATAGAATGCCAGAAGGTATGCCAGATAAAGTGCCAGAATGTTTGCCAGATAGAACGCCAGAAGATTTGCCAGATAGAATCCCAGATATAATGTCAGAAGATGTGCCAGATAGAGTGCCGGAAGACATGCCAGAACACATGCCAGAAGATATGCCAGATAGAGCGCCAGATAGAATGTCAGAAAGAATGCCAGAAGATATGCCAGATAAAGTGCCAGAATGTTTGTCAGATTGAATGCCAGAAGATATGCCAGATAGAATGCCAGAAGGTATGCCAGATAAAGTGCCAGAATGTTTGCCCGAACATATGCCAGAAGATTTGCCAGATAGAATGCCAGATAGAATGTCATAAGATATGCCAGATAGAATGCCGGAAGATATGCCAGATAGAATGCCAGAAGGTATGCCAGTAACAAAACGTATGGATGTCATGGTGGGGATAACTCGAAGTAAAGTATTTTTTTTGGCGGCGCGTGATATGGCCGGCGAAAGATTCAAGTTTTGAAGGCTTCGAGATTTCGCGGTTTTTCTTTTTCTTTTGTTCCTTTTCCGAGCATGCAAAAAGGTCAAAAGGTAGCAAGCTTTCTTTTTTTCACCAAGCACTGTTCCTTCCACATTGCCCCTTTGAAAAACTAATAGTTAATGATTACCAAGGGAGGCGCGCCTAGCTAAAAACAGAATCATATAAACGGCTACGCCAGGCAAGGTAATCATTATATAATTACATTACATAATCTTCTATTTTGGGTGGTTCTATTTTTGGGGCCTTATCTACGCTTTTGTTTGTCTTTTTGCTTTTTGACTGTTTTTTTTCGGTGTATATTTTTGGGAGAAACGGCAGTGTGCTTATATGCTCTTTGCGAAGACCCCTTTCGCTCCTCACCGTTTCTCCCTTACTGTATAAAAATCTATCTTTTGTATTCATAATGAATCTATATCTAGCATGTCTGCATCTACCGCCCGTGGGGATGTGCCTTTTGAAACTTCCGCACCCGGAGCGCTTCGCTCCCCCCACGGACGGTCAGATGAAAAAAACGACCTCTCATATCTACTGTATGTAGGAAAAAAAAGGGTCTTACCCCAATGTTAGACCTCGATAAAACTATTATTGACCATTCTGAACCATTCTGAACAAGTATTAACAAATACTTATCATTAACCATGAACCAACTCCATCCATCCCCATGATGATCATTATTCAATCGTTAATATATCAGAATAGTCATCATTGTTAAGAATCATGTATCAGTAGTAACCATCATTAACCACTACTGACGATCGAACCTCATTTCGTGCGAAAGGGTTGCTCCGGCACAAGTAAAATCGCAATTTTACCTCAGTTTTGGCCGATCGAACCTCGTTTAGTGCGAAAGGGTTGCGGCGGACACCTTGAAATCGCAATTTTACCTCAGTTTTTGACGATCGAACCTCGTTTCGTGCGAAAGGGTTGCGGCGGACACCTTCAAATCACAATTTTACCGATCGAACCTCATTTCGTGCGAAAGGGTTGCGTTTCGTGCCCCCGCCTTCAGAAGAGAAATAGAAAAGAAGGAGAGGGCAAGAGGGGAAAGAGGGCAAGAGGGCAGGAGGAGAAGATGTGAAGATGTGAGAATGTGAAGATGTCATGAAGATGTGAAGATGTGAGGATGAGGGCAAGAGGGCAAGAGGCCAAGAGGGCAAGAGGAGAAGATGTGAAGATGTGAGGATGTGAAGATGTGAGGATGTGAGGATGAGAAGATGTGAAGATGAGCAGATGTGAAGATGTGAAGATGTGAAGATGAGCAGATGTGAAGATGAGCAGATGTGAAGATGACAAGATGTGAGGATGAGAATGTGAAGATGTGAAGTGAGAAGATGTGAAGCTGAGAAGATGTGAAGATGAGAAGATGTGAAGTGAGAAGATGTGAAGATGAGAAGATGAGAGACAGACCCTGTGAAGATGAACAGATGTGAAGATGAGAAGATGTGAAGATGCGAAGATGTGAAGATGAGCAGATGAGCAGATGTGAAGATGAGAAGATGTGAAGATGAGAAGATGTGAAGATGAGAAGATGTGAAGATGAGAAGATGTGAAGTGAGAAGATGTGAAGTTGAGAAGATGTGAAGATGAGAAGATGTGAAGTGAGAAGATGTGAAGATGAGAAGATGAGAGACAGACCCCCACTATTGGAAGAACCCTGCGCCCAGACGCTCTCAGGAATAAGGGTTGAAACTTGCAAGAAGCACAACAAGAAGGATCATGAAGGTTTTTACTTCGTTTTACGATGAACAATCAACCACTCATCAGGAACAAAGAAAACACAATTTCACCAGGAAAAAACGAGAAGTTTTACTTGAGTGGACAAACCATTAGGATTTCACAGGGAAAGAAGCATGATATGCTATGAAGGCTTCAGTGCAAAACAATGAGTTCACCATATTTCACCATCAACCATTGGGGTCTAAGAAACACGAACCGAGGCTTAATCTAGAGAAATGAAGTTCAAACAGAAAAAAACGCGGTGTGTTCAGCCATCAAACACTAGAACGACCATTTTTTAAATGTGTGTTTCCAGGGCTTCCTCACTTTATTTCCATCTTAATATTTGAATTTTAAGTATAAGTAGCAAAATGGGAGCACGTAGTCGGACAACACAGTCCAAACCATAGTCCCAGAAATGAAAATGAAACATCGATGGTAGCTTGGACTAACTTTTCCCTCATTGAAGTTACCTGAATTTGATGGCTGAGACACCCCAATTTTTCCTGCTCAAATTGAATGTTTTTTCACACCAAAACAAACATAGACATAAAAACATATTACTAAAATACGAAGGTAAAATGCTACTAAATCCTATAACCCCTGTAGGAGCCTTCATTGTTAGAGGTTTCTAGAAAGCTCCTAGAACAATATAGAAACATAACAAAAAGACCTAGCATTGCCTATAGGGATTATATGGGATTGTAACCATTCTTATAGCCTACATATAATCATACAAGATGGTTATAACATACAAAGATAATACTATTAGAACCATTACTATAGTAATGATCACCTATCACAAAAAAATGCCTTTCTGACCTATAAACATCTCTGAATCTTTCTGGCCGACTCCGAAACGTTTCCGCTTCGCGCCACTGGGAAAAATCTGCCTCGACTCCCACATGGAAGGCACCACCAATGGCCAGCCCTTCGGAGAAGGTTAGGACCTGTGCTGCAGCTGCTGTGCCATCGAGATCCCGACCAACCCAGGGTTCAACCCGAAAACGAACCACAGGAATTCTCTTCGTGATCTGATTTTATATAATATGTATATAATAACATAATACATATTTATATCATATTTTGTTATTCAAATGGTGATATAATCCATATAAATACAACATCATTTTATGTATTTATATGATTTTATATTTATTTCATCAGAAAAAATATGGGGGAAACAACAACAAAATATGCTGGTTTCTCTAGGGAACATGGGGTCATTCAAACAACAACCCTGGTACCTAAGCATACCTAAGAGATAAAGCACAGGCAATTCATCAGAAAATAAGCGCCAAAACATCTGGGATTAACCCTTACCCGTGGAAGAGGCTAGAAAATCAAAATCAAAACACTGCTGGAAAATGCGATGCACGGCTGGTGCTATTCACAGGAAGGCTCAGCGAAGAGGTGTGCCTCACTCGTTCACCTATTAATTCATTGCCTTATTGCCTAATGGATCTACTTGGCTCATTGCCTAATTGACTCATTGACTAACTGATCCATTCACTCATTCACTCATTCATTCATTCGTTCGTTCATTCATTCATTCACTCATTCACTGATTCACTGATTCACTGATTCACTGATTCACTGATTCACTGATTCACTCATTCACTCACTCACTCACTCATTCATTCATTGATTCATTCATTGATTCATTCATTGATTCATTCATTGATTCATTCATTGATTCATTCATTTTGTGCATTGATTCTTTCATATCATTGATGTCGTTTGCTGTCATGTCATTTCAAATTGGCATCTGAAAAACCATTCGCGAAAATTGATGCACCGCACCATGGACACCAAGCACCCAAGACGGTTGATGATTCTTCTCTTCGTCCTCCAATTTCTCGGTCAAAGAACATGACTGGTTGGTGGTATACCTACCCCTCTGGACAATATGAAAGTCAGTTGGGATGATGACATTCCCAATATATGGAAAAAAAGTTCAAAACCACCAACCAGATGAGCAATAAAAACATGAAACCAATCCACAAATCTGTTTGACCCACTTCCTTCCAAAAAATTCCATGGGTCATGTAGAAAAACCCAACTTAAAATGAAACGACGAAACCAGCCTGGTTGGCCCCCACGAAGGTCCTTAGTTCTGCCGTGGGGTCAGTGGAGTGTTTGAGAAAGGAACAGGGGACCAAACCCACGGTACCTCGAAGCACTTCCAAGCGAAGAGTACACATGATAATAATAAAAAATAATGATAATAATAGCAATAATATAAACATCACCACCAGAATTCATAATAATCATAGTCATAGTCATAATCATATTCCTCGTCGAATTGAAATCTGAAGTACCGGAAGTACCACTTAACTAACCCAGATTCATCCAAGAGTCTCGCTGAGATTGTAGATGTGCACCAGCATCCATTCTGGACAGGAGACCGTGGATCTCAATGGTGTTCGATCCATACTCAGCAAATTCAGTTTCGCCTGTTCATCACCTGGGTGCAGCTCACCGGCCGAAACAGTCAACGTGTTGAAATCCCATAGAACACAAGATCTGGGCAAAGTACATAAGAAATATGACAACTCTAGATATATATATATATATACATGTATGTATATGTATATATATATAATTATACGTATACATTAGCACATGAACATATTCCGCAAACCTCAAATCAGGCCACTGTGAGAGTCCAGAACTACCCCAGTACTGCAAGTGAAGTGCTTTCTTTCGAAGTTCTTGGGGCTTCCCCCTTAGGTGATTTCCAACTCGCAAGGTTCTGGTTACCCGGTGTCATCAAACATGGCCACCTTTGATCACCGGGTCAGAACTTGAGCAACAGCACCAGCCTTCTGGAAAACTCCTGAGAACAACGTTATTCACGTCGCTTCGCGACGGCAACCGCCCGCACCGCATCGTAACTGCCAATGATGTCGGCCATTGAGACCAAAAACATCCGAAAGTACTGATTGTCGGAAAAAAAAACGCGAAGAATTTGATAGCCATGTATAGCGGACCAACGCAGTTCAAAAATAACGAAAAACATGAAAAAACGGCGAAATTGATGTTATTTACAGTGTTTTTGCGCGGCGAGAAGCAGAAACCACTGCAAATACCATGGTTTTTGAGGGTCAGGTGGCCAAAAACACTGTAATTTACAGTGTTTTTTTAACCAACGTCAAAAAACACTGGTATTTACGATGTTTTCATTCACACCGTAACATAGAACAGCGTAATTTACGAGGTTTTTGGAAGTTTTGAAGCTAGCCGTCAAGCATGCAGAAAACAGAAAAACACTGTAAAAACCAGTGTTTCTGCTATCACAAAACGACGAAAATCAGTCCGAAAACGGGTCCAAAAACTCAAAAATCCGCCTCCGGGCCAGGCCACCTGCGGAACCGCAAAAAAAGATGTTGCAAACCAAAAAATTGAGGTCAAAAAGTTGAAAAACACGGGGTTTTTTCACTTTTCGCTTGCCGATTTTGGACGGGCGCGTTCACGAACAGGTGTCTTCCGTACTGTTTTTTACAGTGTTTTTTGAAGGCGAGCGTCACGACCTATCAAAAACAGGAGGTTTTGGCCGAAAAATGCCCCCCCCCCCAGGTAAACCTGTAACCTTTTACGAGTGCCATCCGGACGATCACGCCCCAGCACCTTCGGTGCGGGCGGATTTTAATAATCTAGAGAGTTGTAATTACACAATACCAGTCTTCTGGACATCTTCATTTTAAGGTCATGATAATCTACAGTATTTACGTACTGAATTCCATGCGTTTTCACCAATAGTTCAGACTGTAAATTAGGCTTACAAACCAAATTGTTGTGGGTTATGTACGCATAAAACATCCGTATCTATATATGACAGTTATTGTAATAACGTACCCCCAAAAAAGGAACCTATACTGATTTCCCTTATTGGTCTGCTCATTCTTGGGTTTTATCCTTATTGGATAATCTAACATCAGGCGAAGGAATTCCCATACATAGAGCATACTGGATCCTAAAATATTCTCCCATGTATAAATGGAATGTATACATCATTATTCTGGATTATATAATATATTGGATATTCTGGCTAGATATTATCCAATACATGTTTATGTTGTATATATATAGTATTTATCCTATATATTGTCATAGATGCAGTATATATATATACACATATCCCATATAGTATCACATATTATATCCACTATCATATCAGCTGTATATATATATATATAATCCTTATACTAAAAATCCAATCAAATCCTAATGATTTCATCAATTTCATCCCCATTGATTTTTTGGCTTTGCTCAAAGCGCCATAAGATGTTTTTTCTCCACCACATCTTGGGTTTATAATGTTTGGGCTATAACCACACTAATAACCATATCCCAGATGATACCCCTTATCTTCCATATTCATTCTTCCATTCTATCCGCAAAATTCACCATATTTATCCCATCTCTTTGATGGTTATAACTTTGGTTAAGTCCCCACTTATGGACCCCGCGCCTGCTTCCAAGGCGGGAGGTGACTTTACAAGGTTGCACAGCTCCTGGCAACTACATTCGAACAAATAGAAATCATGGAGGAACATCATGATAACTTTTGGCAGCAATACTGGTGGGAAAATACATCGAATTTAATATATTGGATAAATATTGGAGGTGTCCTAAAATGGGGGTAGCATATATCATGCATTTTAGTAGGAGTTTCCGTTCTAAACCATCCAGCTATGGTACCGAGGGTGAAAGCATCGGACAGTCATGGCTTTTTGGCAGCGGGCCAAGTGCCAGGAAAACTAAGGTTGATAACCAGGAAACTAAGGTTGAGAACCAGAAAAACATGAAGAATTACCTGCAAAAATAACTGATACATGTAGATTCCAAGAGTTTTTCTTTGCTGCACCACCTCACTTTTTGCTAACCCCCTGGCATGATATGTCTACAGGGTGGGCCATAAACCACAGTGAAACTGGAACTATGTCACTTGGCGAAATCAGCCAATAATAACATCTATTTCAATGTTTGGTTACCCTCTGGTAAACTAACATAGCTATTGAAAATGGCCCATTTATAGTGGATTTACCTATTAAAAATGGTGATTTTCCATAGTTACGTTAGTTTAGCAGAGGGTAACCTATGGTTTCATATGGTTTTTCCATGTTTTTTCGTGGTTTCTCCTATGGGCCCCCACCTCCAACCCCCCGTTACTGGGCCAAAAAACCACCAGCGCCGCGTCGGGCGGGTGGAACCTCTTCGCTCAAGCGCGAGAGGACATCCACCTGCTTTGGTGGACTTAGTGGGATTTCATGGGATTTTAAGAGGATCTACCAACTAAAATGGTGATTTTATGGGATTTCTACCCAGAAAAACGGTGATAAAAAAGGGAGATCACCCAGAAACATGTTGAATTTCATGATAATTAGGGGATTTCTGGTGGAACCATGAGAAATAGAGGATTCAACTAGGAGAAATGGTTTTTTGAAAATGCTGATATCGTGGGCTGCCGGGAATATCATCATGTTGATACCCGGTAGGGGTGTCATCAAACATGGCTGGGAAATCCCTTGGAAATGGAGAACATGTGGGGGAGCCAATGGGAAACCCCGTTTGGAAAATGGTCTACAAATAGTGGCTTCTATCCACATGTATGTTTGTTTACGGATGTTACGGGAGGGTATGTATATATATATATGTATTATATATATATATCTAGGGTTGATAAAATAGGAATATCATGGGAATATATGGGTTTAGACACATGATTTATTGACAGGATCGTTAAACACAACCACAAAAATATTGTTGGGGTTGCTGATTGATTAACTACACCTTCGGGAATATAACAATCCATTGAACTAACATGATCATTATTCGTCTCATCATGCAAATTGTGAACATGACCTTGATTTTTGTGAAAGTAAATTATGTTAAGAAATCATGGGAATATCATGGGAACGTGTTGAATGTCATGGGAATATACGTTCACATTCAGAAAAGCTTTGCCAGAGATTTATCAACGATGTGACTGGGTTGTCTTGGATTTCTTTGCTGTTATTGAGGGGATGTTGGTTCCAAATCGATTTATTTGATTGGGATACGTATTACCTGGGATGTAGCAAAAACAAATTATGATATCCCAGTAGTGATCAAACTGATTAAACAACTCTCTGATGTCATTGAGATGGTTTTGGTATATCACCGATTGCTTTCCCTCGTACAAATCCCCAGCCACATCATAATATTCATTTCGACTCTACCTCGGGCCCAGGCACGAATGGACTGAATACTGTACAAACCAGAGTTTCGATTGGGGTGTTCAACATTAGAGGAAGCTGATTATACAATATTATACAATCAATATGTATTAATATGTTAGATAGTGATGTATTATTTTGTACAATCAATGACATATCAATATTATGAATATGTAATATTATTCAATGCCATTCAAGTGATTTCCTACTTTTTTCTCGTCTTTTTGCTTTCTCGATCACAAAGTTGATGCCAATATCCTCCCCCAACTCATATAGACTACTTTTCTCTTGAGATGGATGATTCACAGAGTCTATGTTCGTTGCGAAAAACATGTTGCATCTGAAATCCTGGAAAAGCATCCCACTTTGTCATGACCCCATGTTTTTGAATACCCATGGTCCATGATCCCAGATCAACGAGATGTCTTTACATCTCAGATCGAGGCTGCACATCTTCTGAATACATCCCGTTTCAATTCTGCTTCAAATCTCATCTTTCTCTGTTAAATCTAGGCGAAATCCACCTGTGCTGCAGACTGTTTGTCCTAACTTCATTGTTCTTGTTTTCCGAGCAGCTGGGATTCAACATCTGTCCTTCCACAAATACTTCCACAAGTTCATGTATGGGTGTGTCTGAAAATGGGGAATACCCCCCAAATAGAAATTCTTTTTTCTGGCGAACATGCTGATTCAGCAATGTAATTGGGGACACATCATTTATCATTGCATTATCATTCATTATCCATCGTTCCATGATCAGTATCACTCATCTGGGGAAATTATAATATTTCACTAACCTGAATAGTTTGGCCATAAAAGGGGATGATTTCCCATATCACCATGATTTCCCCAGGCTTCGGGAGAACGACGAATCCGGTCGTGATGAAATTTATTCCAGATTCATTATGATATTCACATGATAATCACCAATGATAATCATCATTAATAACCATTAATAACCATTAATAGCTAATATCCCATGGCTTCAGGGTTGATTCTCCATGGATTTTCTCCACATTTTCCTCCGGCCTCGTTTTCAGGCGGCGCTTTGGCCTGGCCGCTCACCACGTTGCTGGCTTGGTTAGAGGCAAGGACCCGTTGCCGCAAGGAAGCCTAGGCCGGGCCGGAAAAGCATCGGAAAAGCATCGGAAAATGGTGATTTAACAGCAAAATACAGCATTTTCCGATGTCAAAATTTGGGATTTACTCGGATTTATGGCTGAATACCCATGGGAAAACGATGATTTAACCACCAAAAATGGATTTTTGAACCATGGGATTTTTCTCGCTGGAAAGGCGAAGTTGGAGGCCACATACCTCCAATCACCTTGTGGGGGAACGGGGAACCACAAAGGTTTTGTGGGCTGTACGAATCGTTTACTCATAGGATATTCATGGTATACAGGTATTACACACTGAACATAGGATATGTTTACCTTTGAATTCAGGTTGACACGTTAGAATTCATGTTGATACCTTCGGATTTTTGCATATCACACAATGGTTTGCTACTGTGGTGTGTTTGATGGTAACAATAAGTGTTGTTTAAATGAGTAATACTCAATGTAACAGTAACTTTCGGGGGCCATACTAAACTACCAGTTACCAGCGATATTAATGGAACACTCATACCTTGGGATATTTATAGGACATGAATGTTAACCAGGCATTGCTACCATGTGATCGTTGAAAGGTTTACTAATAGAGTTACCCCATGTCATAGTTTGATTTCATTTATATAAGTAAGATCTGCATCTGAAAACAAAGTCAAATTCAAAACAACAAAATAATTTACAAGTTTATCATTTCAAATTCAAACAGAACTTATCATGTCAAGTTACAAGTTAAATGCTTTACACAAATGTGAACCCAACTACGTAAAACGCACAAACAAATCCTGCACCACAAGCAAAATCGGCCCAAACCATCTCCCATACGTGCCGTGCTCAACGCTTGAATTGTTTACCCACATGAGGGATGGTCATGAATCCATCTCCATAGGGATTTACATACATATATTATATATACATACTTATAACCATTACATCCGATTTTGAGAATTCCCAAACTGCTGCTTAAATATGAAACGATATTCCCATTTATTCCCATTTGCTGGCTAACTTGTATACAACTGATTCACAATCTTAAAGGATTACATCCCATGATTGTTTACGTTGTTGGCAATATCCCATGAAATATCCCCTTATATGACCGTAACAACGAGGATTCCCAAATCACTATATGAGCATGTATATATATATATGACCATAACATTACATAACTATATACAGTATAAATAACCAGTACAAACCTATGGCAACCATAGGCACATGCAAACCATACTCAAAGTTATACACCTCACAAGGAGAACGCCCGCGCCTGAGAGTTCAGGATCCGCTGTTGAGACCTGCTGATGGAAATCTCCTCCCTTAAATCTAGTGGAAACCCATTTTGAGAAGACCCATCCCCATTGAAGAAACGGGACTTGACATCACCCAATAGGGAAATTCTTAGGGTTGAAGTATTTAAAAATTTATGTAAATGTTGACCATCCCAAATTCTCCAGCAGGAACAACATCGGGGGATTGACCCAACAGAAAAGGGAACTTGAAGCTGTTGTCACCTGTTGTCGAGTTCCAAAAAAATTGGTATTTTAATAAACAACCAACATTCCCAATAGATTATAACAAGCATTATTAAGTTCACCAATTGGGTATTTCTGTTAATGAAATGCGGACTTCATCAAGAAGAAATGCGGACTTCCCCATAGCTATCTGATCCATCCCAGAGGACCTCTTGAAAACCCCAAAAAAGGTCGAATTCATAGGCCCAGAAAATAGGTCAACTAAGAGAACTAAGACCGTCTGTATCGTAAGTAACCAGCAGATAGAAAATTCAGGATTGCCCAATAGGTTGGATGTTGACTATTTTTTTTTGAAAAGAAGACCAGCTTTCTATTCTATCTGCTGGTTACTTACTACAAGGTGGTACCCCCCAGTTATAAGTTGGTTTATAAGCCCCAGTAACTATAGATATAACCCCCATAAACCCTAGATATTGGACTTATGTGCACCAATTTAGCTAACGAACTGGGGCACCACCTTGTATAACTCATTGCCTTGGAGGATCACCGGCTCTACAGTTTCTGGATCCCGTCTGGCCTTGGAAAACTCATAGTGGGGGACTTCGATTCTCGTGGGACCATATGGTGGTTTCCATAAATAGGCTACCCCCAAAAGGATAGTGTATAACCCATGACAGATCCATGGTGCTGGTATATATGCTAACATGAATGGGGTATATTGATGGGATCCATGTTACCATATATAGCAGCACCATGGATCCTATGGGTAATGGAAAATCCCATTAAAATGAATGATGGTACCGGGTACCCCCAAAATGAGGAAATCCTCATCCCATTGAACTCGACCCTCCAGTAACACGGGGCAACACACACTAGGCCTTGGAAGATTCCTGGTGGGCCACTCGAAAAATGTTTTTTTTCAGGGTCGAACTGTTAATTTACCAGGTACCATGGAAAACCTCATGGTGCCTATTTTTACCAGTGGGTAACAAAAAAGGGCTACCTAATAGGCACCATCAGATTGGTACCTCATCATCCACCATCATCCAAAAAAATCATCGCTACATCGCTAGCACAATCATCTCATGGCTACCATGGAATGTAGGGGAAAAATGGTGACTTGACATGACTTGACCATAAATAATGGGATATACAATGTCTATATCATGGGAATATGTTGAGGGTATATAATGTATATACCTGACTCGGCAATAAAACGCGGCTGGCTGGGAAATCCCCAAACTTCATGGAGGTTTATAGCTGGGAAAATCATCAAACTAGGATGTTGATCCAATTCATCAGTTTGCATTTGTTTTGACGTTTTATAAGTTTGCCCATGTTGTTAGCTGGAATTTTGCTTGAATAAAATATGTTGGCTGCAAACCAGACATTTGCGCGTGACGAATCCCGCATCTTGTTTTCCAACCCCAAGCCCCCAAAACCCAACATTGACCTCCCAAAAAAAGATCTGGAAGCATACTCGGAAGTGCAGTTCCACTTACAAGTGGATATACAAGCATAGCTATAGGGGCCCCATATCCAAACATGTGAGGGTTCTTTCACCATGGTGAAAAAAACCCTACAAATAACTTCAACTGCACCCCCAAGTACGTCATCTATCCCATTCTATTTGAATTCTCTTCCCACTAAACCAGCATTTTTCTTGGTTAAGTTACCATTTGCAAGCCCAAATTCCATTATAATCCCATCATCATCCTGTTAAAGTCCATTTGAATCCCATAAAAATAATCAGCATTTTTCGATCTTTTGCTTGGTGACATCGGCTTAAATCACCATGTTTTCATCCCATCGAAATCAGCATTTTTTAAATCCGTCCGTCGCCTGGACTGCGACTGCAAGGAGCGCATGCTCCGCAAATCCAACGCGCTCCAGTGCGCCATCTCCACGAGGCACCGGAGCCACCGGGGTCCATGGCACGGTAGAACGCCCGTTCCCGGTGATGGCTATGACATAACAGTTGTGGCACGAGGTCACGTACTCAATGAACTTCTATCACTTTGGAAGAGTTAGGATAAACCGTTACATATCATATCATACAATTATATCATAGTTATATCATTTTGATGTGGTTTTGGTTCCTATTTTCAAGGTTTAAGAAAATTTAAGGGTGAATTTTTGGGCATCGAAGGCATCCAACATGGGGCGCTTTAGATTAAAAATGGCATGGGGACGCACGGCAAGGTCGGTCTTCAATGCGCTGAAAATTTGGATTGCTGCCAGAAATAGCCTCTGGTAATTTGTTACAGTTTGCGAACTTGAACATGGCCATAGACATAGTTGATTTTTCCATCGAAACATGTTATTTTCATGTATTTTCCATCGTTTTTTGTATGTTTACCAGAGGGTACTCGATTCGAATCCATCATTTTAACATCATCTCTGCGACTCTGATGCTTTGTTCTTGGACCTATCCGACTGACATCGCAGTGATGGATAGAGTTCATTCTGGGTCAAAACATCTCAAAACACCCATGAATCATATTTCAATATATGTATATCATTGTATATCATATTGATAATTATTGATGATGATTGATAATTATTGATAATGTTCTGTCCTCATTTCATGGTGACATCTCCATCTCGGTTTTACAGCATGCCAGGCAAGTCAACTGAGACATGAATAGCCTCAAATCCCAAGCCATACTGGTTGGCCGATATATAGTATGGCTGAACCATTAATCAGCTTGGCTAACAAAGCCTAGCTACAAATCGCCAGATATGTTAAATTATGTTTCATTTCCCATCCCACCTTTGCAAATCTGCACTATATCCCATTACTTGGGGGGTGCAGTTCCAGCTGCAAGTAGATAAATCATTATGTATCCATTTATATATCTCCAAAAAAACAAACAAACTATTATCCGTTATTATCCCCATAAATAGTGATAATATATCATCTGCATGATATGCTTAAAAGACTGAAAATTGTTTGATCCCCATTACATTCCAATAATATCCCATTATGTATTAAATAAAACAGATCCCATGATTTACAATTTATGATATCCAGTTATATCACAGTTGCCACAATCCACTTGGGGGTGCACTTGGGCTTGTTAATGGATCTTTAAACCACTATACCCATGATATCTCAATCATATCATACTATATCCACTGGCCCTATTATAATACCGTTCTTGATGGTTAAATCCAATTCAACCACCATTATTGCTGGTAAACGTATAAGAACATATCAATAAATGTCCCATGATTCTCTCAACATTATCCCCTTTAATTAAACCTTATAAAAAAACACATTAAACTATTATTATACCTCACCATTCACCCATTGAATATCCCATTCATTATCCCAACATCTTTGATGGCCACACCACATGAAAACTAGGCACCGATTGGGCTTCCCCCAGCCACAAATTCCCATGGTCCTGGACTGTTCATGGAATTTTACGTACGCTACGTCAATGGTATTTTAACGGATTGTTAATGGTATGTCAAGCGGATGTGAATGGTAAATGACAATCATAATCTAGTAATGGTACGTATATTTGATGGTGTCAGATTTGTTGAAACAAAATGAAAATCATCCAATGTGATCCAATATGCTAATGGCAAATGAACTTGTGGCATTTGCCACGACCTCACAGGTGTAGCACTCAAAACATGTTACGTTAAACGTGCCACTTTTCGACCCATGCAACGGGGGTAGCGGCCATTCACATTGGAACAGCACGACCCATGTTTGCACACCTCCTATGAACGGCCAACACAGCACCAGGTGGTCAGGCTGCAAAAGAGAGGCTGCGATGATGCCCCGGTTCGTTCGCTAAGTTAGTTTCTAACTCCAATACCTAAGGTTTATGGTAGAATATGGTAGATATATCATGATATATCGAACTAGATAGTTACTATGGTTTATCTAACTTAACTAACTTGTAACTTGGGCACCACCGTGTATAATTGGGTAAACTTCCGAAAGTCAAGTCATCCCCTATTCGTCGCAGGGACTCAAAGATGATCCAACCATTTTATATGCCATCCAACAGTTACCATCCAAAAAGAAAACGGTGCGATTAAACATATTTTCATTTTACACAGAAAATTAAGTGACTACAATCAATATATCTGTTGATGATATTTTTATATAATTATCAGTGAGACCTCGCATGTTGTTTTCCAGTCCCAAATGACCGCAGCCATGATAGCGGAACATTTCCAACAAAGAAGACAAATTATCCGACCATCTTGTCTACCCTTTGGTAATTTACCATCGAAAAACTATGGAAACCACTTCCATAGCCTCGTGGCTGTGCGGTGGCTGTGCTGAGCGCGTTGTCGTCAAAGTCGCCAGCTTCAAGCCGTTTCATGGAGATTTCATGGGACTAAACCCATGAAAGATGGGATTGTTATCATCCAATATCTGATTATCCAACAGAAATTGGTGGTATAACTATGGTATATTAACTATCATCCATCTAATCACTTAACCTATGGTTTATTGCATTCCAGAAATTGGTGGTAGAAACTTCTAAGCTGTCCTCAATTGGAGGTGAAAATTGTTTGGGTTACAGCGGTTACCGCATTTGTCGAATGGTGAAAACAAAATCGATATCTGGTTGGTGGTTTTAACCATCTTGAAAAATATTTGTCAATGGGAAGGACTATCCTATATATTATGGGAAAAAAGTTCCAAACCACCAACCAGATATAGTTGAAACCACCAACTGGAGGTTTCCTAAAATAGGGGTACCCCCAAATCATCAATTTTCGTAGGATTTTCCATTATAAACCACCATTTTGGGGTACCCCCCATTATAGGAAACCACCAACAAGCAACATAAGGTTCTGGACATGGCATATGCGTCTGATGCTGCAGCCAACATTTGTTGGGTGCCCGGTCGGATAACCATGACATATATATATATTTATGTGTGTGTTCACGGTGTTCAACCTATAATAACCTATAATTAGTGGGTGGTTGGTGATAATTTCACCATAACCATATAATAACCTACTATAACTATCCTGTTGGATATTTGTTGAACAAATGCTGTCAGGCAAGGTGTTTTCAATTGATCTCATTTGGCTGAATGGCTGGCAACTGGCCTGGCACCCAATGATCCGGATGACCCAGCCACAATTGAACAAGCAGCAGAACAGGCCGGATGAACCAGGCACAATTGAACAAGCAGCAGAACAGGCCCCAAAAAAACAGTTCACAACAGCAAGCATATAATTGATTACAACTGATTATTATTTGTATCATATATCTTGATATATTATATCATATTATATCTAATTTCCCTTTTCAATATCTTAACATATGATCAACCACTTCAGGCCGAACGTAAATGGAATTATATAGTCGAGCAGGCAGGATGTCAAGCATCAAGCAGAATGTCTGGGACTTTCCCCAAACAAAATATCAACCTAGACCCTCAACTTCCCCATAAAAATGTGTCTTTCGTCTTCATTATCTTTTGATATGTTAGTTTGCCGATATTACATTAATTACCTTTACGCATCTTATTGCCTCAGAAATCGGATGTCTTTTTTCTACATGTTCTGCTAATCTGTACCCATTTTAATTGGTACTTTGAGGGCCGAGGAAGCAGCTTGGCTTGCACATCGCAGTTCTATACTGCGGTGACCAGGCTGGATGGTCCAGCAAATCCAGCAGGCGTTTGGAACCACCTCAAGCGAAATCGGTCAAATTTCCATGGCATACGGTGTGGGATTCTGATATATTCAAATCCATTCACCTGCTTCAGATAGTTCTCCAGCTGCATTTGGGAAAGGCCGTGCGACATCAGTTAGATTTAGATATCCCTCGGCGCCAAAAGGGTCCAAAAAGTGTAGTGGTTGATCTAACCCGATCTAGACAGGTACCTTTTCTTAAATCCCACGTCTCCATAGCTATCGAAATTTGATCTACGTTTCTGTCTTTTCTGGGGCTTCACCAGTCTCAGGCTTTGGAGCTTCACCAGTTTTCGGTCACCCCAAGTCATCAGCGTTTCAGTCGTTTTTTTATGGGTGCGAAAAAAACCATCCCCAAATGGCTAGTGCCTTGTTTACTAAGCATTGGATTTCAAAAAAATGAAATTCACTTCGATGTTCCTATATGTTCCCATTTAAATTCATTAAAACCTCCATTTCTTGTGCATGTTCCTATATTTTCCTATCGCTTAAACCGAGAAAAATTGAGCGCAGGGATTTCCCACGGCCAATATTGCCGACGTGCTGGATGACATCAGATTTAAGTGATTCAGAATGCCCAGAGAAGTGCTGATTCCGAAAAAAAATTGAAAAAACAACAAATAAAAACCCATCAAAAAAAACTGAAAATAAAACACAAATCAGAAAAACCAAAAAGAAACAAAATAAACACAACTGGAAGACAAATACTCAACACAAAAAATGATCAAATAATAAACAGCAAACAAACAACAAATGTGAGGACAAAAACACAAAATACAAGAAATAAACAGATAATAAACAAAAAAAGGAACTTGGCTGCAAAACGCTGATATTGAAGGAATAACTTGGGAAATCTGCTGAACATTGGGAAAAACAGGAAAAACATGAAGATTGTTTTTTTTTTATTTTCTGAGTCTTCTGTTGAGTCTCTGTTTTCCAGTTGTTTTTTATTTGTTTCTTTTGTTTTTCTGATTTGTTTTTTATTTTCAGTTGCATTTTTGGGTTGTTTGACTTATTTGATTATATATTCTGATGGTCATCACCAGGATGTGCCCCCATAACTGCATTATAAGTTACCGGTATATGTTTAACAAAATGGCTATGGACATGACCGTCTTTAATAGCTAAAGCATCGAACTATACCTGGGTCATGTTCCAGTTCGCAAAGTGCTAGCTCACATATCATTATATATTCTCCCATTATATCCCACTTACATCCCAATTCTATCCCGCTTATATCATCTTATATCCCAATTGAATTTCTATTGTTGTTGGTT